AATGCAAGAGACTCAGAGGACTGGCAGCTCATAGTCTCTAGTTCTGTCCCTTCTCCATGCTGGTTGCCCTGGTACTTGGACTTCACTCAGTACCTCAATGCCCCAACCTTCTTTTTTTTTTTTTCCTTTTTCTTTTTCTTACATTAGCCCAAGATTATACCTGTCCCTGGCAACAAGAATTCTAATGAAGACTCACCATTCATTCTTCCACATGAACTCATTGATTCCTTCATGCACTTATTCATTTCTTCAAAAATAAGACATAATTACCACGAGCCATGCTGTATGCTGGTCTCTGAAAACATGGAGATGATAGATATTGAAGCCAAATTTGTCAGCACAGGGCCTCGGATTAAAAGATTGAATTGAAATATGATAATAAATCAACACCCAAGAACTGTGGGAACACAGGGAAAGGACACTCTGGGGTCAGCAGGTTTGGTTTTAATGCAATCACGTGGGCATATCATCTAATATTGGTTTCCTCATTCTTCAGGATAAACCTAATGTTCCCTCCCTGACCTCAGGAATGCCTTAAACGTTGTATAATTGTACTAGGTTGATAGGGCTCTATTACAAAGAACCACAGACTGAAAACACATACAACAGAAATGTATTATCCAAGTTCACGGTGTTGACAAGGCTGTTTCCTTCATGGGCTCTGAAGGAGGTACTTATTGCTGACCTGAGTCTTTGGCCATCTTCTCCCTATTTCCCTCCACCTTGTCTTCTCTCTGCACATACTGCTATATCCCAAATTCCTCTTTTTATAAGGACCACAGTCATGCTGAATGAGGGCCCACCCCAATAAACTCACTTCACTTTGATTACCTCTATAAAAATCCTACATTCAACTAACATCACTTTTTGAGGTATTAAGAGTTAGCAATTTAATGTATGAAATTGTGAAGAACACAATCAAACTATAATGAAAATGTGTGAAGGAGTTTTGTGCACCTTGGAGTCCATCCCTGAATATTATTTATCAAGTATTTATGTAAGGTTCTAAGGGAAGTTCTGAATGAGAGCCTATAGATAGGGAGACAGCAAGGGTCTGGACTGGAACACAGGTCCTTCCAAATAGCCTGACTCTGATCTATCCAGCCCAACCTTCCCATAGCTGTTAAACCTCTCATTCCTACTCCAAAAACTGAATTTTAAGGAAAACATATTGATTTTATTTCACTTGATGACAGCTCCAAATGGACCAGGAACTGCAACTGCTGCTGAAATGGGTAGATAAATTCCCAAGTGCCTGTCCTCGCTGGGTATGGGGAAGTAGGATCTTCTTCATGATTTACGATCCTGACTATATGAAGATGATTCTGGGGAGATCAGGTGAGAATGAAATCCCATCCCGGCAGCAGCAGCTCTTTTCTCCTGGGTACATACACTGTGTCTATAAAGTTCCAGAAAAAAAAGTGGCAATTTAAATGTGTGAACCCTCTTCCAGCCCTTTACCCACGCCACAACCCAGACCAAAGGCAGAAATTATATATTATTCTGACTGCTGAATGTTTAATAAAACAGCTATGCAGCACCAAAATTGTTTTTCTTTTATTCCTTTTCAATTTTGTAAACTAAATTGATCTGATCTATAACACAAATTGCCCAGGATGTTAAAAATGAACCTTCTATCCACACTGACTATATCCCTCCCTGTTCTGTGTCATAGAAAGACTGACTACCCATTGTAGAAAAACCACAAGACTCTGCTGTCTTCCTCCTTGTCATTAAGGTCATGTTCTACACTTCAAATCTTCATTACAGGGCAGGGGGTGTTCAGTGGCTAGTCTCCAGAGCCTACCTTCCTGAGACCAACTGACTATCAGGGCAGAGACTGAAGGCTTGGGACCCAGTGGGAAGTGATCAACACACTGCTAACTGACAGTCACCAAGAACTCATGGCAGTCCATGCCTCAATCACACTTGCCTATAGGCTACCTTATTTGGTCACTGATACTTTTCTGAAAAGTCTTTCCTTTGCTTTCAGACCCCAAAGCTAAAACTACTTACAGATTCCTGGCTCCCTGGATTGGTATGTATATCTAAACCTAGTTCCTCCCCAGTCACTCTCAGCAAGATCTCTTTCTCTGATTCACAGAGAATAAGAGTTGATATAATATGATGACCCCTCCCTAAATCAAGCCTCATTTCTTTTCTTCTAACTAGAACCTCACCACTTCCTCATGCAGCTGAAAGCCCTCCTGAGGCTCAGCTCTTTTTACATTGCCTTCTAATTATCTCCAAATATTTTCAGTCTGATATTTATTTATGCCCCTCCTCACCCTGTTCTCAACTCCTTTAACAATTACCTCACAGCTGTCATAATCACATCAGATACACTAGCCCAACTGGGAAATTCATATTTCTGAAAAGTGCCAGTCATTACTGTCTTTGTCCAAAGAAGTTCTGCAATCTGGATCTTCTTCTCCCACCATCTGTTTCTTTCAAATTGTCCAAGTCTCCCTCTGATCCTACTGACCACTCACTCATGCACACAACCATGTATGACCCAGGGTATGGCTTGCTCCTGTTGAATGGGCAGACGTGGTTCCAGCACCGCCGGATGTTGACCCCAGCCTTCCACTATGACATCCTGAAGCCCTACCTGGGACTCATGGCTGACTCTGTCAGAGTGATGCTGGTGAGTCAGTCAGTCTCTCTCTCTCTCTCTCTCTCTCTCTCTCTCTCTCTCTCTCTCTCTCATTTCCATTCATCCACTCACAGTACATATTCAGATTCCACAGCCATCAGTCATGGCGGATATAGACTCCACCTCCCATTTCTAAGCCTTCAGCACAGTAGATTAGAGGAGTAGTCAGTTGTATCAAACAGCAGGTCTACCTAGCCCTGGCTGGCCTGGGCAATGGCATCTTCAGTGGCAGGTGCACTTCCTAGGATAAAATTCAGTCATGCTCTGGCCTGAGTGCCTAGGGCTTCTGTTTGGCCTTTGCATGGACTTGCATAATGCATGCACTGAAATGGACACCAGCTCCCACATCTCACAACCACCCTATTGTATAATCACCTTTCACCAAAGCTGATGTTTTTATTACCTATATATGCTCAGCAGAAGTTTGTCAAAGGAAAAGAAATTGAAGTTCCTGAAGTCACATCCTGGATCTTTAGGATTCATAATGCTGCAAACTTTTATACCCTCAAATGGGATCTTCTTACTTGGCCCTGTGGACTAGCTCAGGTCTCAGAAAAGCAGGGTACTCCTCTCCTTTATTCTCCAAAAAAAAAAAAAAGTTTTCTGACTTAGCAAAAGACAATTTTCATAATAACTTCTTCCTTAAATTCAAACCAAAGCAATACCATTATGAGAATATATATTTAACTTTATAATAAAAGTTTGTGATAAAATACAAATACTTGCTTTAGAGCCTGAACTTGCTTTCATACATTTGCTTCATGACATGAAGAAATTCTATCAGAATACTTAGACACACAGAGGGCTGAGCCTTACAGCACATGCATTCTGAGAGGACTGAGATCAGTGTTCCCTTGCCACCTCAGAACAAGTGGGAGAAGCTTACTAACCAGGACTCATTTGAGATCTCTCAAGACATCTCTTTGATGACTCTGGACTCCATCATGAAGTGCGCCTTCAGTTATCAAGACAGTGTTCAGCTGGACAGGTCAGTGACAAGCCTTCAACTATAGGGTCCTTGTTCTTACCAAGTGGTGGGGACTCACCTGAGAGGCATAGAAAGACTTGGAAGCTTACCTTCATAAAAAGCCAGATTCTAACCCCAGCCCCAGGCCATATTCTAATTCCTGAGCAAACTCAACCCTGTACCAGTCACAGAACCCTGATCCCAACACAGGTGGAAGACTGACTGCTCATGCCACCTTCTAAAGTCCTGTGTCTCGGTGTTGCCTGTCTCCATCACATAGTAAATCTCATCTCAGAGTCCTTTCTGCCTCCAGGTCAGACCTCCCTATCATCAGTCTGTTGTGTATGCTCTCCCTCAGGAATTCCCAGTCCTACATCAAGGCTATTAGTGACCTGGGCTACTTGATACCTTCTCGTGTGCGGAATGCCTTTCATCAGAATGACATCATCTATAGACTGACCTCTGCTGGTCGCTGGACCAACCATGCCTGCCAGATTGCCCATAGGCACACAGGTTTTGTCTTCTCTACTGTTTCTCCTCCTTTACCAGGCTTAGCCCAAAGGAGCTGGGAATAACCCCTCAGGCACAGCCAGGTCTCCTGGTGCCCCTGAAGGATTTGGAACACATTTATGCTGGGCACTTCCCTAGTGCAAGTGTTGGGAGCCAAAATGTTAGGGGGTCAGGCAGCGTGGAAGTGGTTGCCTATGCCCTCACATTGGTAATGTGAAATGAGACCCATTCCAGGAGCTCATGCAGAGTCTCCACATGCTGTGCTCCTGAAAGCAGTGCTGACCTGCATCAAATAGTGCTGAACTCCCACTACTTGCCTACACACCTGCTCCCAAATGCATCCTGTGCTCTATAGGGCACCCAGATTGGGGAAGGTGGCACACATGACTCCTGGTAGTTGCTGTAGCCCTTGATTTTGTCTGGTAATTATTGACCTGAGACAGACCAAGTGATCAGGCAGAGGAAAGCTCAATTGAAGGATGAGGGAGAGCTGGAGAAGATCAAGAAGAAGAGGCACTTGGATTTCCTGGACATCCTCCTGTTTGCCAAAGTAAATGTGTGGGAAGAAGCCTGAGGGTTTGCCCAGGAGCAGAGGGAGGGACAAACCCTGCCTTCTCATCCATGGACTCCCCAGATGGAGAATGGGAGCAGCCTGTCTGATGAGGACCTGCGTGCCGAGGTGGACACCTTCATGTTTGAGGGCCATGACACCACAGCCAGTGGTATCTGCTGGATCTTCTATGCTCTGGCCACACACCCTGAGCATCAGCAGAAGTGCAGGGAGGAGGTCCAGAGCCTCCTGGGGGACGGAGCCTCCATCACCTGGTGAGTGAGAGCTCAAGAGGTGGGAGAGTCCTGTCTATGGTAGGGGCAAGGTGCTGGTCTTCCTGGGCCCTGCCTGCCCCTCAGGATGGCCTTCACCTCAGGGACCACCTGGACCAGATGCCCTACACCACCATGTGCATCAAGGAGGCCCTGAGGATCTATCCACCAGTACCAACTGTGGGCAGAAAACTCAGCAAACCTATCACCTTTCCTGATGGACGTTCCTTACCCAAAGGTATGAGCATCTCAGACTCAATTCACCTTAGCTCTCCCCAGGGACAAGGGAGAATCTAAATCCCCATGTGTTTCAGCAGTTCTGAACCTATTTGTGTCCCCCTTTCCTTATAGTAATCATTTCTCATTTTTTAGTTAGAATGATGCATATAAAGTGGTGGCACCTATCTGGGCCACAAGAAAATTTAATAAAAATTAATTCCCCTTCAACACCAAAAGAACTTTTTATATCTAGGACATTGGCTTAAACTATCCCTAAGATCCCTTTCAATTTTCTTTTATTTCACTGGAATAGAATCATGAGCTTCTTTTATTCTCCAGGGCTATCACTCAATCACCTTTAGAGTCTATGGTCTCATGACTATAGTTACCTCCATTTGGACTACACTAATATTTTTTATTCCAACACTCCAGATTTTGGTTCTTTTTTTTTAAAATTTTTGCTCTAATTAGTTGTACATGACAGTAGAATTCATCTTGACACATTGCACACAAATGGAGCACGACTTTTCATTCCTCTGCGTATACAGGTTTTGATTCTTGATTCAACAATTACAGTTCACATGTACAATTTCTTTCTTCACTTTCACATTTTTTTTGGAAATATCCTTTATATTTGATAGAATGTATAAATAACTCTACTGTGATACATGCAAAAGGGCGCACGTATCAGTTAACACAATGATAACTCAACCCTCTGAACCTTCTCCACGTGGATATTCACAGCCTCTGGGTGTGGTTTCAGGACTTCAGCCCTAAAATTCTCATTTCATGAGAAGTGGGGGTGGGGGGTGGGGAAAGAATATGACAGGGACAGAGGGACACAAGGTTCTTTCCTTGGGGCAAGGCAAATGAGTAAAATCAGGAATCGCATGTCAGGAGTCAGATATAGTTTCGTCTTTGAGGAGCCCTTAGGTAGATGGCAGAGACCCAGCTGATGGATACATCTGAGTCCCCTCTCATGGAAGAAGGACACCATTATCTCAACTACCATTGGGTCTGACCTCTTCCCTGACCCACCTTAGCTGAGTGATCATAGAAATGTCACTTAGCCTCTCTGAGCCTCTGGTGCCTCATCTGAAAAATGAAGATAAAACCTCCCTGTCGTTTGCATTTCACTGCTGCTCAGAGACTGTGAAATTGCCTCCAACTGGTAAGTGTTTGTGAATATCAAGTGAATTAGTTTATATTCTCCAAAGACTGATGGAAGGCATTTGATGAAGTGAGTGTTCACTTGGGTTACTACAAACTGTGAGCCTCCGATGTTTTCTTGCTTCTCTTTCCTGAATTGTAGTTTTCTGCTCCTCACCTGTGCTCAGGGACTTTGCCAAGCCCTCCCCCAACTCCTTGTACTTGACTCATACTACTCAAAGACATGATTTATGGCACCAGGCCTTTGGGGTCTGCAGGTCCCCTGCTGGCCAAGGGACCATAGCCCTACTTCATGGATTCAGTAAGTCTTCTCTTTATCTCCTATCTGCCTTCAGGTATCTTTGTCTCACTATCCATTTATGGCCTTCATCACAACCCGAAGGTGTGGCCAAACCCAGAGGTATGGAGGTTCTGAGGGAAGGAAAGGGAATAATCTCTGAGGATACCTCCTCCTGCTCCTATTTCTGGGCATTCTGTCCCCTCGTGGGTGGGAAGCAGGGCTTGACCTTCACCTATTCTGTTCTCTCCACAGGAGTTTGACCCTTTCCGATTTGCACCCAGTTCTACTCGACACAGCCATTCATTCCTGCCTTTTTCAGGGGGATCTAGGTGAGCTGTCCTGTGTTGGTGGTGGGATAAGGAAAGAGAAGTCTCTGGGCACAAACCTGATGTTTGTGATCCCTTCATTGCATGTAGCAGCTCTAGATATGCCCTTTTAGATGGTGAATGAAACAAAGAAGACTTGGGTGGGTATATCTGTGCCCAAAAGCAGGTTGCATTTCAAGTTATGCCACAGAGACATTGGCCCACTGTCCTTCCTAAGGGCCAGACAAATTTCAGCATCAGTGTGTTTTGGTGTTTTCCACACATTAGGGATATGATTATGAATTAGGAAAGCTCATGTAAACATAAATTCAGTTTTATGCCCCTTAGTTTTGGTCCTTATTATATAGAGTCCTCTCCCCCTACACAGTCTCTCCTCCAACCACCGCCCTTTTTGTTCAAGTCATTAATCCTTGGATCACTGAAGCAAATGATGAGTGGATTTGGGTTTGTTTTCTGTAAGCTTGACATATGCCAACTGTGCAGATACTTTGCCCTTTGAAGACAGTTTACAGCGATGGGCATTCTCTCCACATTTGCAGTCTCTCCCAACATGATTTTTGACTGCATGTGAATGTTCGTGTTCCTCCAGTAGCTTTCCAAGTTGTAAAAACTTGAAAAAACAAGTAAGAACTTACCTTAAAATTATACTTAAAGCACATATAGTCCAACTTCAGACAAAAAAGGATAAAAATGAGGACAATAAATTGCCTTGGAGGAAAAATCTACTATTTTGTATATGGCATATTGCTTGAAAGTCACCTGATATGTACAATATAGAACCTTGAAGGAACCATGAAGCTGGGTAAGCATACTCCAAAGGGCTGCTGTGGCCATCCACAAACACTCAGGAATTGTCTTCTGCAATATACTTTGCCATACACCTTGTAAATATTACTAGAAACAAAGATTTTTTTCTGATTCATGATTATGTGAATTCTTCAAATGCTTATTAGCTTTAGAACAGGCTTTCAGCAACTTGATAATTCACATTGGTTTTTCCAAATTTTGATTTTTTTGATCTACTTCTTTTTTCCTAGACATTGGCTACAAATAATGTTGCTGACATGAAGGGATAGGAAAGTCTAGATATATCATTTTCTAGGTAGAACTAACATTTATTTTCAGTGTCATCTACTGAGTACTTTTCAATTTCTTTAACTTAATTCACACATAAAGATTGAAAAGATATATTTCCCTGCACCAAGTCCTATGTTTAGAGATGGAAACAGAGAGATATAGAATACCACTGCTGGTTCAGGACAAAAGCAGAAACTGGTGGTACAGAATCAGATACCTATATCCAAGATGAGCTTCTTTCCCTCCTTCCATTTTTTTCACTCACTCACCACTCATTGAACAACTGTGGAATGTCCTCGAAACTGTCAAAGGCCCTGGACTGTGGTATATCCTTGAATAAAACACTGGGGTGACTTGGAGAGAGAGGGGTGAAGGCCAACTGGTCATTGGCCTAAGCCTAGAAGATGTGTAGGCAGAGTTGGAGGGAGGACATCCTGAAGAACATGAGCTGGGCTTGGAATGGGGCTGGACAGACAAGAAGCAGACAAAACTAATAGTCATATCTGTATCTGCTTTCCTGGGCCTGTGTTGTGTCCCTGGCTCCTCTCCCTCTATAGTGAAGCAACAACCCAACATTTCCAGAATAGAATTAAAAGGCAATCAACACTGGTAGAATGAGGGGTATGAGAGAGGTAGGAGCCTGACCACTGAGATGGACACGGATATGGCTGCAGCTTAAGGATCCTAAACCTGATGAATCTTCCAGGATTTTCTCCATTGATATGTGTCTCCCCTTTCAGGAATAGGTACTCTTTTTCCCATAGATGGTGAACCCTGAGAGTGTGGCCCACTGCTCCCCATGCAGCCCTGACTAGTGGTATCCACAACTGGGGAACCAGAAACTATTAGTGAAGGGAGTGAACTAACCGATGACTTGCTGTTTAAAAGATTCATGTGATGAGACTCTGCCTTAGAGTTCTGGCACTATCCTAACAGATTTCATGTCAGTGAGAGCAGAAGTAGGGTCAGGGCTGGTTCCGAAACAGTGGTAGGCTATGTCAAGGTCAAGAGAGTGTAAGCCAGGCTGGGGGAAGATGCGTTAGGGGCCTATAAGGAAAACCACTGTTCTGGTCCCATGAGAGAAGGCCCTGCTTTGGGCTGGGGCTCAAGGGCCAATGCCTTGCCAGCTCACGATGGAACCTGAGGCCGCTTTTTATGCCTTGTCCCTCCCTGGCCCAGGAACTGCATCGGGAAGCAATTTGCCATGAATGAAATGAAGGTGGCCGTGGCCCTTACCCTGCTTCGCTTTGAGCTGCTGCCGGATTCCACCAAAGTCCCCTTCCCCGTGCAACGTATTGTGTTAAAGTCCAAGAATGGGTTCCACCTGCATCTCAGGAAGCTCCACTAATGCTGGTAGGGACAAGGCCCGATCTTTGCACCTACTGCCTGCTATTCTATCTTCTTGTTACCTGTTTTTGCCCTCCCGTATGTCTTCCTTTCTGTTATCGCACCTGCCTGCAGTCTCTCTATTTGTTTGTTTGTCTACCTGTCTCCTACCACATCTCTGTGCACCTAGCCTCTGGCCACCTGCTGGCCCTCTTCTATCTCTTCCCTTTGTGCTGCCTTTCTGTACCTGTGCTATCTTCCTATTTTGTTATAATGAACTATCACCACTATAATGTCTTAAAACAACCCATGTTTATAGTCTTACAGCTCTGGAGATCAGATGTCTGAAATGGATTTCCCTGGACAAAAAACAAGCTGTTGCAGGATTTCTCAGGGACAAGCCCTGTTCACCATCTGCTAGCTTGGCTTTCAAGGCCTTCTGATGGATGGATAGGTCCACCTCCCAGGGATCATCTCCTGTACTTGAAATTGACTAATTTCATGTTAACCCTAACTAAAACATTTTTTCACAGTTACATCTGGACTAGCATTTAATTGAATAAGTGAGTAATTCAGCCTTGTCAAGTTGAATCATAGGCATCACATTTTATCCTGGCAAGTTGTCATTGAAATACATCCCCATAAACTTACTTAATCAGAAAATAAAGATTTGCTCTGTAACCAAATCCCTCTAAGAGTGTTTATAGCCTTCAGGGATATAACAAAGTCATATTTCTGCCAACTATCCAGCATAGTTTTAAAAATACACTATCATTCCCCACCCCAAGTACAATAACAAAAAGTCAGAGTTGTCCCAGGGCTGGAATCCCTGAGGGCAGCCCCTGCAAGGGGGAAGTGTAGAAATGTGAGAAGGAAGTAAAGCTGCAGTGGAGACCCCAGGGATTAAGAAATGCCAGAAATGTGAGACATTGTCCCACCAAAGTTGCAGGAATTGAGCAGAGACAAGCCAACAGAGAAGCCATGTGGGTTGCAACCAGCAAAGACACCAGGGCAGAGCTACACAAGCCTTTTAGAGAGAATATCACAAAGCCATGTGCTCCAGATGCTGGACATAAAACTACAGGACTTGTTTGTCCAGCTGGATTTTAGTCTTGTTTTGGTCCCATCCTTCTTTCTATACTCCTATTTTTCTGAATGGGACTATTGACTCTGTACCTTTATTTTTATTTTTTATTTGTTCTTTTTAGGTATATATATGATAGTAGAGAATATTTTGACATATATCTATACATAGAGTATAACTTATTCTAATTAGGATCCCATTCTTGTGGTTGTATGTGGTGTGGAGATTCATTGTGGTGTATTCATATATGAACATAGGAAAGCTATGGCAAATTCATCCCTCTGTCTTTCCTCCATACCTTTACATAGCGAATACTTGTAAGTTGCTTTTGATTTTTTTATGGGAACTCAAACTGCGAGATTGCCCTGAGTTTCAGAAAACACTTCGGACTTGAACTTTTAGACACTCTTAGAACTGTTGAGACTATGGAAACTCTTGGAAATTAACTAAATGTATTTCCCATTGTGAGATGGTCATGAACTTTTGGAGATCAAGAGCAGAATTCTATATTTTGGATGTGAGGTGTTCCCAAAAGCTCATGTGTGAAACAATGCAAGAACATTCAGAGGTGAAATGAGTGGGTTATGAAAGCATTAATCCAATCAGTGAATTAATTTCCTGATAGAGATTAATTGAGTGGTAACTGAAGGTGGTCACTCCCACTTATCATCCCTAAAACTGTTTTTTTCTGGTCTTTAAGTCACAACTTTGAAAAAAAAAATGACTAAAACAGTGGGTATGGTGGAACTGGTGGTCCCAGGACACTTTATTCTTTAGGATCCCTGTCTACTGCATAGGAAATAGTGATAGAAGGCCAGGACCTCTCAGGAACACAGTGTCACCAGCCAGATTTCAAATCACTGGGCAGGGAAGGGAGGAGGCTACCCATGTAGGCCCTGGGGCTTCCCTCCCTCCTTCTGCACACCCTCAACAGCTCTGCCACAGTGCCAGCTCCAATCCCACAGTCATTGCTCTAAGTCCAAGTCACCTCTCCTCACACCTAGGTTAATTCAACAATGCCAACTGCTTCTAGTTGGCACCTGACGCCAACCACCTCTCTTCCCTTAAGCCAGAGAATTTCTTTCTCAACTTGGAAAGGTTTTTTAAAATAATAGTAATATCTGCTTGTTGTGCAACAGAGAAACCAAGGGGTAAAGGCTGAGCCGGCTGCCTGCTTGGTGCGCCTGCTTTGGTTTTGATTGCTATGCAACGGAAGTAAAATTCCTGCCCTGCCCACAGAACTGATTAGTCTCCAAGTGTTTATTTTGACTCCTGGGGTGCCCAGGACCCCAAATATTTCTAACAATGATCCCCCTGACTCTGACACTCAGTGACTTTGAAAAATATCATTTAACATCTCTGGGCATTAGTTCTTTTGACTGTAAAATAAGATTAGTTAGCATCTGATAAACTGAGACACAGATATGCTTTGCAAACATAGAGGAGACATTCTGGAAACCTTCCTGCATGCCAGCACTGTGCACAGAGGTGAAGGGACCTCACTTTCTCAGACTCACTTCTGCCTATCATTCCAGGGAGAAGTGGAGGTACACAACGTCCCCAGCCAAAAAGAAACATGAAAGTTCTGTGCCTTCCTTCAGCAAGGAAAAAGAGCAAAACATTTAGGTTTCAAAGGCATATGTCTGGAATATTCAGTCTTTGTGGACAGTCAATTGTAAGTGATAAACATAAAATGGCATCACTGTTGAACTCAATTTTATGAAAATTCTGAAAGAAGGTCCTGGGGTAACCTACCCACAGGAGTACCTGTTCCAAGCTGCCACCTCAGGATCCATGGCCTCTTCTCTGCTTTTTTTTTTCTCATGTGTAAACTGGAACAGGAAGCATGCAGGAATATTAAGAAATAGCAACTTCTATTTTAAAATAAGGCATCCAAACTGAACCACGTCTGATTACAATGATGATCCAATCAGTCCTAAGTTTTCCTCACTCCCTCTCTCGCTCATACATCAAATCAGGAAGTATTTGGGGAGCATCATCATCAATAAGCAGTCTCTGCATGCTCTGGGAAGCATAAGGACATGTGATGCTCAGTGACAACCTTCCATAAGCCTTTGGTGTGGAGTGTATGGATATTGGAAGACGGGGAAATGTTTACTTGTAAGTAAACATTGACATGAGATCAAAATTAGAGCAAAATGGGAGCCCTGGGGAGAGCAGGCTTCCAAGGGATTCTTTCTGAAATATTTTTGGTGTTTTACTCTGAATTCTGTACTTTGGATTTGATCTTTGGGCATCATAAAGAAGTGAGAGTGAGGATGTTAAGATGAAAATGGCTCCATCCCTTGCTCTCCATGATTTTGCTCGTGATTTGACCCTGGATGTTTCTAAGACATCTGCTCACACTTCACATGTAATTCTATCTTCTGCTTTTTTCACTGTCTTGTAAGCATTGGTCATATAATGCTATGTTCTCCATAAGGATTATTTTAAATGACTATGTACATCTAGCCACGTGGTTGGCCCTCACAGGAGCTTCCCTGGGTACAGAGTCTTGCATTTGTGCCAATATGTGGAGAAGATGATCTGTCGTGTCTTCCTGCTACTTGGAAACACTGGATGAAACAGGATAGGCCAGAAATGCTCCTTGCAAAGTTGGGGCATGCTGTAGGACTGCATCCCCAGCTAATCAATGCCTCCTTCACATTAAAGTCAACAGCAAAAATCTCTGGATTCAGACTGCCTGGGTTAGAATCCTGGCTGCACCTCTGACCAGATGGTTGATCCTGGGCAAGTAGCCAATCCCCTTCTTCCTTAGGTTTCCTGTCTATGATATGAGATAGTTTGAGGCTTGAGGAGTTTTGTTTGTTTGTTTGTTTGTTTGTTTTGTTGTTTTTGTTTTGTTTTGTTTTGTTTTTCTATTCTTATGATTGCTATGAAAGATATCTGATAAAGATTTGATCATTGCCCTAAACATAGAATGCTCACTACTCTAAGAAGGCTGGGATGGAAAATAATCTCAAAATGAGGGCAAAGCTGAGTGGATTGGAATATAAATAGTTACATGCTCTTCTGCCCTTGATTTCTGACAGAGTTCAGGATTCAGATAAGAAATAAAAGATCTCTGGCCTCAGGGGTTGACTAATGTATCACCTGTCACAATATAAGACAATGAAGGAGGGTGTTGGAAAAAGCATTTGGGTGGGTAAGGGGTCAGGCCAGGAGAAAACTTGCAGCCCCTGTTTATTGCCTGAAATATCTTTTGTGTTTTACTTTCTGAATTCTGCCTGATGGATTTGACCTTAAAGGATCATGAAATTATGAGAGTGAGATTCTTGAAGATGAGCATGTCCCCATCTGTTTTTCTTGCTTTGCTGGTGACTGACCTTCCCTAATGCACTTCCTCCCAGATAAATTATTCCTCCTTTACCATCCCATTGTATTTTAATTTTCTTCTTCCCTGGTGGCCATCTCATTCCTCCAGCATAGCCTCATCATATTTTACTGTACTAATGTCATTCCCTGCCTTTGCCCACTAGACTGAGAGGTCAGGAAATATTTGTTGAATTTGTTGAGAGAAAGAATGGGGTAAGTCAAAAGGGATTATTACCCAACTCTGCAAAAGAAATCACAGTACTCATACTCAGGGAAGGTAAGTGGCTGGCTATATATGTAATGAGGTTGTCATGGGCCTGGAGCCTCCTGAATCAAAGCCCAATGCTCCACAGTCACCCTGGGTCACAGTGTGTAGTGGATAGGGCAACCCCCAGCAGGGGCGGGCAGTTTGGGAGTCCAGTAGGAAATAATTCTAATCTTACTACCCACTGTTCAGATATTTTCCTCGGAACACTTCAATGTATCTCTTTAGAATAATTTTTTTCATCACTAAAATCATGTCAGTAGTACAAGCAATCATGGACTGAACAGTTGATGAATTACACTATGAATTTCTTGAAGTCTGGGTTCATGTTTCTTCTCTTAGTATCTCTGCTCCACCACTAGGATATTGCCTAGCACATAATCGGTGCCTAACAAATATTTGTAAGTAATATGGAGACAGGAAAGTGAGTGTGTTCACGGTCATTGCCTCTGTCAGCTGATAAGACTTTGACTTCACTGTTTTCCCAAGGTAAATCTTTCAGAGGAATCAACTCTGGATTCAGATCAAGCTCTGTCCTGACCCTTCTCCCTCCCACTGGTGGTAAAGGTAATCCTCCCAGGACTTAGGTTGGGTCACTCAGAGGTTCAGTGATACTGAGGGATCGTCAGTCGTCTGAAAGCTGTTGCTTCACAAGCATCTCTGCACGGAGCCTCACCAAACTCTCAAAATGTATCTCTGGATTCCTCCACGTTGCCTTTATGCTGGGCCTACTTCTTCTGCTGTACAAGGCAGCCCAGCAGTACATGTTGCAGTCAGTGGCTGCTCATAGCCCTCAAGCAGTTCTCATTCCTGCCCTCTTTGGGCACAACGTAGGAAGCAGGAGGAAGCGGAGTAGAAGGGCAGGCAGGTTCAGCCCACAGAGACTGGCCAGCAAGTCCACAGGTCAAAGCCTCTGTGGAACACAGCGTAAAGCTTCTGAGAAACACCCAGATATCCTCTCAGGCTAGGCTCATCCCTGAGAAAGGAAGCTCATTCCCTCA